TGGCATCCTAACTATAACTGCCCCGAAAATGGTAAGCACATCATCCTGTACCAATCATATTCACAGATCAGAGAGACAAAGTCAAATTGCAACCAGGAGCACGCTATACGAACTCACTTTCCTCTTCTGTTTCAACAGGAGGACCAGTCTCACCAAAAGACTACTGTTGTTCCCATCAAGCTCGAAGAAGCTGAGAGCTCATCAGCTTCCAAAACTTCGGATAAGAATGAAGCCAGTTCCGTTGAAAATACCAGCGAGGAATCCAATTGCTCACGAAAACCTATCTGTGAAACAATAAAGAAGGAAAGCATAAACATTCCAAGTCGTGCCAAAGAAGTACCCACAGTCAACAGTGTTCAACCACGGTCTGTGGAAATTGACATTTCAAAGGAGTGCATTAATGATGATGTTTGTGGCGTTGAGAAGCAAGGAAATGTTAAAACGACTGAAAGAACAAACCCTGACATCACTGATGAATCAAACCTCGTCTGTAAAGAACCAGACTCGACAGGACTGGAAATTTCTCGCCAAAGATTCTGGGATGAATTCCTACCAATTACTCGAAGAGGAAGCTTCTTCCAGGACTCCTTCTTCTCCGACATGCACACAAAGTTTGACGCCGCCATAAGGAAGGTCTTGAACAGGTGGAGCAGCAATGAGCTCGAGTGGACAGACACTTGGGACGACGTGGGTTTTCACTACAAAGATATCCTGGAGCGATACAGAGAGCTTCGATCCCGTCACCTGGAAGAAAACCTCGCCGTCACTGTCACGTCAGACAAAACAGGTCATAAGGTGAGTGGCTTCGAAGTCCCTTCTTAGCGGCCACTGAGAAAAACATTTCCATACGTCGAAAATTCTATTCACTTTAGGGAAATTCTGATTTTTTTTTTTTTTTTTTTTTTTTTTTTTTTTTTTTTTTTTTAGAAATAAAATGAATTCCGTTAAATAAATTTGTAAATGTTGATTAACCTTTCCATGTATTTTCAGTTTGTTATGGATGTTCATGATTTTATGGACGGTGGCGAGGTCAGCGTGAAGGCTGTGAACGAGCGAGAGTTGGTGGTCGAAGGTCACTTGGAGAAGAAGGAAGACGGTTCCAAGTCCAGCAAGCAGTTCCTTCGGCGCTTCGTTGTTCCTGGAGACATTGAGGTGGAGGCCGTCACTTCGGTCATGTCTTCTGACGGCGTGCTGACAGTTTCGGCTCCGAAGAAGGTGGCTCTACTTTGGAATTTCCTCTAATCTTTCAACTCAAATATCTATCTTCAAAATTATGCAATTTCACCATCAACCATATTCCTTTTGTTGTAGATTTCTTTTATGATCACCAATTCTATTTACCTCATGACACATATGACAAATTTTAAAAATAATATGTATAATAACGATAAGCCATTGTTGACACATTGCTTTGTTCCACAGAAGTGCCAAAGGAAGGAAGCCGTTGTTCCAGTTCAGTTGGAAAGTAAGGAGGAAGAGGCAGTTCGCGCCGGTCACGGAGGAAGCCCGGCAGATGTGCTCGTGTCTCCAGACGAAGCTGAAAAGAAAGGCTCATCTGCAGACCTGCTGAGCCCCACGTCAGACGATGACGACGAGGAAGGATACACATTCATCGTGAGACGGCCTGGAAATTCCTATGGCGTTTCCTTCGGGGATGATGAAGATTCACATGCGTGGAAGAGGGAATCCTCAGCGGGGGATTCCAGGAGCAAGTGTGCTTTGAAGAGTTCAGGATTGGATTGCGAAAGCAGGAACTTGGCCATCGTCAGGAAGGGCCTGTTTGCTGACGATTGCTGCTTCGAGAATGTTCGTCGTAACTACAGTCAGGCTGTGAGACAAGTTTTGGAAAAGGCCAATGAATGGTCCTGTGGAAGTGACACCTTGGACAAGTACAGGAAACTTCGTCAGCAGAAAGTCAGTTTAGAAAATCAAGCAGTAGGTGTCTCAGAGGATTCAGAATCACATCAGGTAATTCATGGCTTTGTTAGGTGTCGCTTCTTTTATCATATGTCATTATTTATCACACATGGCTGGCCAAAGGATTGTGAGGGACGTGTTGACTTCATTCCAATGACTCAGTTCATCATATCATAGCATTAAGCGCCTTAAGCAGCCGCCTAACCTGTACTTCTCCTCAGATCGTGATGGACGTGTTGGACTTCCTTGGCGGCGACGTGACAGTGCGGTTGGTGGAAGGAAAGGAGCTGCTGGTGGAGGGTCAAGCAGAGAGGCAGGACGGAGGCAGAGTGTCCCGAGTGAGCTTCGTGCGTCGCTTCGCCTTGCCTGAGCTCGTCGAGCGAGACGCCGTCAGCTGCGTGTTGTCCTCGGACGGAATCCTGACGATCGTCTCCGAGAAGAAGGGAGACGCCCCTGGCCAGCGCGACCGCAGGAGTGCCCAGTAGGATGGAGTCCTATCCTGGCATGGGCAGAGGTGGAGGGCTGAAGGGCGCTGGAGACTTTGAGGATTCAGGATCCCAAGATTCAGAACCGGTTCCTGCATCAAGCATAAGCTGTGCAATAAGTACCAGTCTGCACTGGTTTCCTGAGAGCTGCAATTTCTATAGACCGTAATCTATTCTAAAATATATTTTTGGTATTAAAAGATTATGTGAAACGTTTATGTACATGTGTCCTTTGTAAATGTAATGTTGTTTTTTTACATTACTGAAAATATACCGTTTTTCTAAATAAATATGGTAATGAATGTGGATGTTTCATGGAAACTCCAACCCTGACAAAATGTGTACGTATTTTTTCAATCACACTCATTTATATATATATATATATATATATATATATATATATATATATATATATAAGTCTTATACATATATAAGCCTATGCGTTTATACAAAAAATTATTAGAACAGTGAGTAAAGCTCAAATATACATGGATGTCGACACACATATGAATACATACTTACCCATATACGATATACAGACATGTCCATTTCTGTATCTACATATCTACAGTACACACAGAAATATATGTGCGTGTATATAATATGTATGTGTGTATCAGTGGCACGACGTTTGGTGTCCCATAGCTGACAACATAAAAGCTTGGATCAAGTATTCGTAGGAGATCGCTTAATGCCCATGCACTCTCTCTCTCTCTCTCTTCTCTCTCTCTCCTTCTCTCTCTCTCTCTCTCTCTCTCTCTCTCTCTCTCTCTCTCTCTCTCTTGCTCTCTCTCTCTCTCTCTCTCTCTCTCTTCTCTCTCTGTCTCTCTCTCTCTCTCTCTCTCTCTCTCTCTCTCTCTCTCTCTCTCTCTCTCTCTCTCTCTCTCTCTCTCTCTCTCTTTGCTCTCTCTCTCTCTCTCTCTCTCTCTCTCCTCTCTCTCTCTCTCTCTCTCTCTCTCTCTCTCTCTCTCTCTCTCTCTCTCTACACACACACACATATATATATATATATATATATATATATATATATATATTATATATATATATATATATATATATATATATTTATAGTTAATATATCTTCATCTCTCTTTCTCTACCTCTCTCCCTCTGTCCGTCAAAAATAGAAATAAACAAAAAAGGAAGGAAAGGATATTACATGTTCGTTTTTTGTATCTTAAACCTTATATATATCTCCTCCTCTCCTTGCCTTCATGAGTGATATTACCGTTTTCCTCTTGAAGTAATAGATAATTTGACGAATTCAGCTTCTTTTCCAAATGGGTGTACTGCGTGCCACTCCCTTCGGCTGTGAATGATTTTTTTTCTTTCTGTGGTCGAGTCAATGGCACTTATGAAGAGCAAATGATTAACTTAAATGAGGATGATGATGTGACTTGGAAGAGGAATAATATGAATAAGAATGATAATAGTCATAGTAATGATGATATTTTGATCACAATGATGTTATTGACGATGGAAATGAAAATGAAATTATAACAAGAACAATGCTTATGGAAATTTTAAGAATAATAATGAGAATAAGAATAAGAATAGTAACAATGATCATAACATGATGATATTGATACTATTAGTGTTACTGCTAATGATGATGGTGATGATAATGATGACAATGATATTAATAATTGTCATTATACCAATAAGTATAATAGTAATAGTATTTCAATATGAAAGATGATAATAATAACAGTAATGATTATAACAATAAAAATAATAGCGTTAGCAATACCAATACTATTAGTATTATTACTGGTAATAATGGTGGCAATACTGATACTAATAGTAATATTGATACTAACAAATAAGGTAATTCTTAAAATAAAATAAAAAAATAAAAAAAAAACTATGATGAGAGAAATAATAAAAAAATGGTAATGATTTCGATAATAACAACGATGACGATAACGATGACAAAAGTACAAAACAAAAATAGAAAAATAACACCAACAACACTGATGCTAATGCCAGTGGTAAGAATGAAATTACTGTCGATGAAATTATAATCAACAATGCTATAAGCTTAGCTTTTTTCTTTTTCTTTAGCATAGCCATCGTTCCCGGCCTCGTATTTTTTTTTTTTTTTTTTTTTTTTACGTTATCATTTTCTTTGTTTCTATTACAGTTGAAGCGAAACTGACACTGTTCTTCATCATCATTATTTTTCTTCTTAATATCATCTGCATTATCATCATTATTATCGTTATTTTTTATTATCGTCATAATTTTCATCATTTTTTTTCTTGGTATTATTATCACCATTTTCATTATTTCTTTGATGTCAATTACATTAAATGGCACAAGCATAAACATAGAAAGAAACACATTTTCCCTCATAGACTTACACATCAACTCGTTCTGACTCTGTCAACCATTTCATACGAATTTCGGAATAGGGCTAAAGGAAGGACCTGACTAAGGCCTTAAAGGACCGACACAACGAACACGAAATAAAGAATGATTCTTAGGACCTGAGTCACGCTCCTCAAAGGCTTGGCAGCGCCTCGGACGCTATACATACACCGTCGCGTCACCGACTCGCGCCTCCGATGCCGCATATAAAGCTCGGGATCGTCTTCAGCCTCTTCAGTACAAGAGCGACCATCCTCGCACCTCCTGAGGCTAAAGAAGTGACTTTCATCTGAAAATCTAGTGAGCGTAATGGCGCCCATCCAGAAGTGTTACGACGTGAAGATCTCTGCCCCTGGCGTGAGCTGCCGTCGGTGCGGAGGATCCTCCAAGAGGTCCTGGGACACGTTCCTTCCCATCGCTCGAAGGGGAAGCTTCTTCCAAGATTCGTTCTTCGCCAATATACAGCACGACTTCGACGCCGCCGTCAGGGACGTTCTGAACCGATGGAGTGACGACGACCTCACACTGACGGACCGCAGGAGCCACAGCGACATCATGGGGCGGTACAGACAGCTTCGCTCTCGTAACAGGAAGGAAGAGAACCAGGCCATCACAGTGACTTCAGACAGCTCTAGTCATAAGGTAAGGCGTTCACACACACTCACACAAGCACACAAACTCACGCACACACACATAATGTGAGATATAGCGAAATTGATTTTATTCAGAGAAGTGGTTCTCAACCTCTGCAGTCTGACGGCAAACCAAAATCCTGCACTTCTCTGACACAGCAACTCTAAATTTCGTGAATATAGGAATATGAATGTATTATGAAAAATAAAACAGCAAAGAAAGCTTGATGAACTCAAATCAATGGAGTAGAGGTTAATTAAGGTGTTAACAAAGCCCCAATGTCTGAAATGAAATTTGTGTTTATAAAGAAAAATGGTCAGTGGCAAATGATAGATAACATTGAAAACACTCACACAAGGCATGCACAGCTGCATTATACACTTGGTTACTGAGGAGTTAATCTCACAGATTGTTCTGGATATGCACGACTTCATGGGTGGAGATGTGAAGGTGAAGGTAGTAGGTGAGAAGGAACTGGTGGTGGAAGGACGTATGGAGAAGGAAGAGGGAAGATCCTCCATGTCTGCACACTCCTTCAGAAGACGATTTTCCTTGCCTCATCTTACTGACATGACAGCGATCACATCTGTCATGTCTTCGGATGGAATCCTCATAATCAATGTGCCAGAAGTTGTAAGTATCTACTGGTTGGGATCTTAATTGAATTGCAGTTATACAAGTAAAATGAAATACGATATCGTTTTGTGAAATGTCAATCTGAAATTCTTCCTTCTTCAGGAAGAAGATGCACGGCAGAAGGCCACCGTCATTCCCGTCCACGTCGAGAAAACTGAAAATTCCTCAAGAATGCAGAACTGGGAATCTTCTAACACATCTTCCACTGCGTCTGCCGAGGCCACCTCCGTACAAGGAAAGTCCTTGGAGGTGGATCAAGAGGAATGTGAATGTGCAAGATGTTCTTTGGAAAATAGATGCCAGGCTAAGAACACACAGATTCCACTCAGCAATGCATCTCACTCACGGACTGAGGAAGGAGTTTCTGCCTCAAAACAAAGTTCTTCAGTGTACACAAAATCGTCTCAGAATGAAGGTGCAGAAATTGGCTCTTATGGATCATGGGACACTTTCCTGCCCATCACACGAAGAGGAAATTTCTTCAAGGACTCTTTCTTCTCTGATATACATCAGGACTTCAACTCCGCCATCAAGGAGGTCCTGGAAAGGTGGAATGACACCGATCTGAGGCTGAGAGACCGCTGGGACGGCGCCGATTTCCTCGACCACTACAGGCAGCTTCGATCCCGCGACTTGAAGGAGGAGAATCAGGCTGTCACCGTCGCATCAGGCAACTCTAGTTATAAGGTACGTCTCATCTTCACAAACCAATTTAGCAATGGATGGAGCATTTCTGATGACATGGACATTACTACTTGAACTGTGGGTACAGATGAAGTCCTAATCATCACTACATTTGTCACAGATTGTGTTGGATGTCCATGACTTCATGGCTGGAGATGTGAAGGTGAAGGTGGTGGACGAGAGGGAGTTGTTAGTGGAAGGACGTGTGGAAAAGAAGGAAGAGGGAAGCTCATCCCTGTCGTCCTATTCCTTCCGACGACGCTTCACTCTGCCACAGCACACTGACATGACAGCCATCACATCTGTCATGTCTTCAGACGGTATCCTGACGATCACTGCTCCTGCAAAGGTAAGATTTTTGTTTAATATTTGGCCTTAAGGTCGCATAAATGAACTCTAAACAGTAAATAAATATTGCATGATTGAAAAGAGAAAGTTTCTCATGATTAAAATCTTACATTTGACAGAACAGCAAGGCTCAGCAAGCCAAAAGCATCCCGGTCACAGTCGAAGGAAAACGGGCTGTTTCTCAGGAATCCTCCTCCTCTTCCACAAAGACAAGTGTTACCAACGAATCTGTCAAGGAAAGGAAAGAAGATTGTGAATGCCTCCACTCTTCCAAGACAAGCGAAGAGAAGACTTCTCAGAAGCCAAATGGGATGAAGATTCCAATCCAGATTATCGGATCTGTGACAAAGGAGTCTGAAAAGGCTCGAAGCTCCTCTGCAGACACCTACGTAAGCTCTCAAGAGAACGTCAGTCAGACTCAAGTTCA